TTATTCAAAATTTATTTTGATCTTCACATATAATTATACTAACATAGGTTATATAGAAACCGAAAACTCTATGTATATAGTATTACAATTCAAACCTGGAATAAGTATACCAAGCCATATTCCAAAATACTTACACATCTCAACTCTAAGAAGCTTCAATATAATAGATTAGTATATTTTAAATTTTGATCCAAACATTATTATCAGATATAAAATAACATTAGTTTTATAGCATAAATAAAGTGATTTCATGCCCATAGTAGATAAGATAAAATTACAAGAAATCTAATGGTGGGGAAGTAATCACCTACATTTAATGCAGGTTTCTTTAAACAACCTGATTTTTTATTGGAAAAGATAGAACCAGTCGGACTTGCACATATACACATTATATTGAATTACATCAGCAAAATAAATATATATGTAGTATATGAATATGGTTTCTATAATACTAAAGATTTTTAACTATAAGAAATATATTTAAATTGAAATTTAAAACTAAATTAATCAATTAATTGTAAATAATTTTCATTAATTATATAATATAGTGATTAAGCAAATGTAAATATATATTTTAATGTATTGAAAGTTACCATACAATGAAATCAACAAAGTTCAAAACTTTAAAAATAATTATAGAATTTATTAAAATTTAAAATACAGAAATGTATGAGCATACATAATTTGTTAATTATTATACAGCTGCGTGCAAAAGTATTAGGCACCCCTATTGTTAGTCAGTATCTCATTATATTGCGGTCAAATGTGTGTTTTATGGTTTAGCTATTGTATTAGCGGCAATTTTTAACCAAATTAAGATAAAAGAAAATATTTATGACATCCAGGTGTGCTCCTAAGCGGTATTTCTTCGGATTTGCTTTTTTTGCGTTTCGGGTTATAGTGTGTTATCAGTGCTTGCAGTGAACATACACGTCTTCTACGCAACTATTCCTATCACAATTCTAAAGACTAACATTTAACGTGTTAATCATGCCGAAAAAATCTGAACTTAGTGCTGAACAGCGTCTAAGAATTAAGATTTTACATGAACAAGGCATGTCTCAGGTTAAAATAGCCCGAGAAGTGAAGTGCTCGCGATGTGCAGTTCAATATGCTATAAATCGCTTCAAAGAGACTGGCACCCATGAAAATAGACCAAGAACAGGCAGAAGAAAAGTTACTACTGAACGGGAAGATCGATTGTTGATTAGGCAGTCCCTACAAAACAGGAAAAAAACTGCTTTAGAGCTCGCTGCAGCATTATCTGAGGCAAAAGGCAGCTCAGTGAGTGTTTATACTGTGAGAAGAAGACTTCTTAAAGCTGGATTAGAAGGATGTAAAGCAAGGAAGAAGCCGTGGCTGTCAGAACACAATAAGAAAAATCGGTTGGAGTGGGCACTCAAACATAGAGATTGGTCAGTGGAAGATTGGTCCAACATACTGTGGTCAGACGAATCTAACTTTGAGGTATTGTTATTTATTTTATGTACAATATTAAAACACATAAATGTTTTTAAAATAACGTACTGCAAGAAAAATAATAACTTTGAAAATAAATGTGTTTTTTTTCGTTTGGCATAGGTGTTTGGAACACCCGGTGTGACTTATGTTAGGCGAAGGGTTGGCGAAGAATACAACCCAGAATGTGTGGTTCCCACTGTTAAGCATGGTGGAGGCTCAATAATGATCTGGGGCTGCATGGCTGCCGACGGAGTGGGCGAAATGGTGTTGTGTGAGGGACGAATGAATAGTGTTAAATACACTGAAGTTCTGGAAACAGCACTAGCAACGTCGATAACGCAAATTTTCGGTGATACAAACACCGATGGCCTGAAATTTCAGCAAGACAACGCCACTTGCCACAAGTCCGCGCATACCATGAAGTGGTTTGCTGGAAATCATATTGATCTTTTGGACTGGCCACCACATTCACCAGACCTCAACCCGATTGAGCATATTTGGTCCATTTTAAAGAAAAATATCCGCAGGCACTCGATTAGCAATAAACAAGCTCTATTGGCCGCGTTACAACAGGAATGGAAAAATATATCAAGAGAAGAATGTTTCAGGCTGGTAGAGTCAATGCCAAAAAGAGTGGCTGCGGTTATTAAGTCAAAAGGTGGACCTACAAAATATTAATTATTTTCTTAAAATAAACCATTGTAATCATAAATGCAGTTTTATTTACACTCGCTATGCTAAAACACCCTAAAACTTGTCTTACTGTAGGGTGCCTAATACTTTTGCCCGTGGCTGTATAAGAAATAATTATGTATAATTTTAAGTAACTTTCAATGTTCTAGATATCTTTCATTAACATGTACTAGGATAACATAACTTGAATGCTAATGGCCTTACAATATCCATTGTCATTTTAAAGGAATGCAATCAGATATGATGGGTTTATTTACTAAATACTATTGCAACATGATTCTTACCACAAGGATTATTTATATACAATATTATGTTATTAAATTTAATATATCTTATATATAAAAGTCTTGTGTTGCGGTGTTAGACAGAGAACTCCTCTGAAATGGCTGGACCGATTTTGATGAAATTTTGTGAGCATATTGAGTAGGTCTGAGAATTGACCAACATCTATGTATTTTTCATACCCTTAAGTCATAAATGTTGTTTAACCTTAGTTATTTTTTTTCGGACGAATTTTTTTGTTTTTATTTTTTTATAATGTAGCATTAAAAAAATACATACAATCCAAAATTTTTATTTTTTTTATCACCAATCCCTCTTTTTTTATATGGCTCTATATTTGCTGGGTCAGATTGTTATGAAATAATAATAATAATCTTTACTTCATCTATATTTGTATGAATTAGATCCTAATAATTAGATCGTTGAACCCAAGAATACTAGTAGGTCTTGTGTATTAAATCAATAATAGTACAATAGTGGTACTTCATTAATATGCAGAGCAACATGAATTGAATTACTAATTAGTTCTGGTGTTTACAATCATTAGCCTGGAGGTTAAATTAACAATTCATGTGACATCTAATTATGTATTTCCTTATTTAATATTGTGTAAAAATATTTTGTACATCAAATATATACTTGGAATACGAGTACATATTGTTTTAATTCAATTAGTGAAATACTTTGAATGTCGAAAATATTAAACCGTGATATAATCTGCTTTGTATAAATAAAATATCAGCACAAGTTAAACAAACATTGATATGTTGTTAATGATAATTTTGTGTGACTTATTGAATATTTAACTTACCGATATCAGTTATAGGGGCTTTAGTGCTATAGCCTTTCAAATGTCCAGAATCACTATCATCCAATATTTCTGGCACTTCTGGTAGGCCAGCTACTACGAAATAATCAGCAACTCGTCGTTCGTCCATCGCTGATAGTTATATTATATCCGGACTAAAAAATATTCTAGTGTTTAAAGAATAGCGACAGCATTAAAAACATAAAATGAACACAAAAAACACTAAGACATTTAACCTTCTAAAATACCACGTCAAAATTTTATAAACACTGAATACACTTATATGTCTTTATTTATGTAAGAGTCTGTTCCATACACAACACATTGATTAGAGCTAAACAAATAATAAATAAACGAAAAACATGAAACCTTTGAAGTTCATTTTACTTACCGTGTATAAATGAAGATAAAAAAGAAATATTAAAGTAGCCAATTAAATCGCATTTTATCTTGGCGATTAGGTCGTGGGTTACCCATATTTATAGTATAATTTATTGCAAGACATTCATTTTCTAATTTAGATATTTAACGCCGTATATATCTTATGCAAGTTGATCACTTCTTCACAACCACAATCACATCACATTTATTGAAACAGATACATAATATTGAAGTATAAATTGACAAGTGTCAAATCATTGTTTAGTTGCCATAAGTAATTTTGTTTTCCAGGTTTGATTTAACAACTACTTAAACTCAAAAGATCTTTAAATAAAAAATAAATAAATTATTTTAAATCAATTACTAATATAAACTATATCTTAATTTCCAGGTATTACAACTGTTTTTCTTGTTAAACCATAAAAAAGTCAGGTGAGCAATATAGATATCTTGTTTTGCTTTAATTTTATTTTAACTTTTCCTCAGTGGGTGAAATTTAGAAACAATGACCATATTATAGTAAAAGTAAAGGAAATAATCAAAAAGTTTAAATTAAATTTTAAGTATGAACTTAATTAAATTTTAAGTATTCTATACATTTACTAGATTAACTAAACGAGTTTTATATATGTTGTTGAAATTAAACAACTATTTTCAAGAGAAAACGTTACGTGCAACAGGAGCTAATGTTTTTGGCTAGGCTAAATTGTATTTTCCTTCGTAAAAAAATATTTTATAATTTATAATATTCACATTGAAAACGCAACCTTTCCTTTTCTAAGTCTTATAATTATGAACACAACTTCGTATGATTATTTTCGAATACCCAAATCTAGTATTGAATATCACATAGAATCCATGGAATTGTCCCTTCGATAATGAACAAAAAGGAACGTCTAGAATTTAAATAAAACTACATGTTTTTTGTAGACTACCACTAATTAAAAATAACTAACCATAGAACCTCATATACCAATCTGTGCTTTCTTTTTTTCATAGCAGTTAAGTTATTAAAATTGATTCATTAAAGTGTTACTTTATTATTATATACTTATTGTGTACTACTCAGAATGAGTTTGAATTTACAATAATACAGGTTTATTTAAGTTCAACCATAAAACTTATTTGTGTTGTCAGCGAATCGCATAATGTTCACATTCTGATTGCAAACTCGTATCAAGTACATGGACAAATTACAAACAATATTATTTAAACATATTAATATTAATCTATGTAATCACAGTTTAAAATTACTGGAATATAACAACTCATTTGTTTTAATCATAGGAAGATATAGGATATTTAAAAAAAGGACTAAATTATTTTTGTAAATGTATATAAAATCTAGACTTTATGTACATAATTTTATTTAAATTCATACATCTATCACAATATCTTTCCGAGCTTTAGCCGATGGAGCCATATTGTCATTTAGTTCTATAATATCCTGGCTTGTACCAACTTGAGCACCAGATAGAATAAGTCCAATAGCACCTTCAAGCTCACTAACTCTTTTACAAACTTCTATTTCCTCTTTAATTTCTTCTAGCAGTGAGGTGTAAAGCAATAGATTTTGTTCAGAAAATAGTTTGATTTCATTTTCAAAAACATCAATGAAAGCATTAGTAGCATCTATTATAGTCCTTGTGAATCTTGTTTCTCCTAAATTTTTTTTAAAGAATTTTAGAAGTGCTCCCACATCGCTTTCCTTTATACCTCTTATGGCTTTATGTAGGACTTTCCTTCTCAGCATTTCTTGCATCAAAGCAATGGTTTTTTCGGGAAACTTGGTTGCTACATAAGTTTTCAATACAGCTGATAGAGCTTTGCTAAATTCCATTTTTCGTAGAAATTTGTCAAAATCAGGTCCTTTTTCAATCTTTTGTTTTGTAACAACCTCATCTACAGTTTCCGCTGCTATGTGGTCGGGAGCAAATTTGAATAATCCTCTCTTTTCTTCAAACAAGGAAGCCGGTTGTTCTCTCTTTCTTATAGAAATAACTCCATCAATCATTCCAACCGCTAGCACATCATCACACTCTGATATTGCCATACTTAACACAGCATTTGGGAAATCAATATTATGCACCACTTTGAATGTGGCCAGATCATAAATCTTTACATGTCTATCAAGTGACGCTGACATAAGCCGGCTATTATTGCTGGCTAGTCTTAAAGTAGTAACAGTTTTATGATGCTGTGAAATATTCGCAAGTAATTTTCCACCGTTAAATATATCCCATACTTTGATCTCAGTGCCACCGGCACTAATAAATATTCCTCCTGATGGTAAAAATAATGTAGATTCTACTGGACTGCCATGGTCGACTGTTAGAACAGTTTCATTTGATCGACAGTCATATAATTTTACAGCATGGTCATAACCACCAGATAGTATAATATCAGGTAAAATTGGACTTGGAGCACCTGCTCTTACATAGTCTGTGTGTTCGGAGAAACTTGCAATTTTTTCTTCTGTTGCAATATCCCATAAACAAACTGATTTATCATCTGAGAAACTAAGAACTTTTACTTGATCTTTTGTGAAGAATGTTCTATGTACCTGAAAGATGATATATGTTATTACAAACATACCATGGCAATGTAAGTTTAATATTTCAATACTTTTTAAATAATTACCGGGCCAGTGTGACCTGTAAATACTCTTAACACATTTTTTGACTGGACATCAAACAATTTAACAGCAGATTCTTCACTACCAGCAACAAGTAACCTACCATCATTCCTGAAACAACCTCCATAGGCCGCCTCAACAAATTTTGATATATTCTTTGCCACTACTTTTGAAATAGGGTCATAAACCTAAAAATATGTAGATAGTTAGAAAAAGTAGTTTATAATTTAAATATAATGGATATTTAAATAAGAAAATAATTTATATATTTTTTTATTATAAGTTATAAAACCATTTACCTGAACTCTGACAGAGCATGTTGCAGCAAAATAATATGGTTCTACTGGGCTGAAATCCAAATAGTCTATAGCTCCAAATTCTTTAACTAGCACTGGAAGCTACAAAATAAGGAGTTTACATGTAAAAATATATTAGGACACAAAATATAATTAAATAATGTACTATAAAGTTACCCCAAGTTTCTTCCAATAAAGAGTATCCTCAGTTAAAACAGATGCAGGTTTTTGATAGACAGCTTTGTTTGTTTTTTTAAATGGATACGATATATGTGCCATTGTGGCGACACCTTAAATCTATAATTTTTTTTATTAATTTATGTTCCCAAGTTTCATAAACAATCGAGCATGAGCTTTACGAGCAATCACATTGTTTTCAATAGCGACATTGAAGTTTGGTGATTGACATTTGAATGTTTAATGCTGCAAGAAATATAAATCGTAATAAAATTATTACTAATAAAAATGTTAATTATGGATGTTCATTTCCATAATTCAAAAAACAGAAAATTAGAAAATCAAAGTGGAACTTATCAATTTATTTTAATTACATACTGCTTTTTATATTTTATTCCAGTGCTCGAAGCGAATGACAATCAATGTTAGGGATTAGATTCTGTCAATGTCAAAATGGTCTATTCCGTAGTGAATATAACCTTATAACAATATTTTGTTAACTAGTTTAAATATAAAATAATTACGAATACGAAAAACGATAAAGATAAAAATGTTTAAATTACTTAGTCGACACGGCCGTCGTAGCGGTATAAGAAATTTATTCTGTGAAAAGCAAATTGAGGTTAAAAAGGCAAGAGTTTATTATTTCTATTCTTCTGCGGGTTCAGTTCGATTTGCTTCCACCGGTGTTGATGTAGGGAAAACAATATCGTTAGAATCTATACCCGAACCCCCTCCCGTGCCTAACCAATCAGTTGTTGGTGATATAACAGAAGCTGTTCAAAGTCTGGCAGTTAATGGAGAGCCTTCATTCGCAAGTCTTGGACTCGGCGGTTGGGGCCCAGTTGGTATCGTACAAAACTGCCTCGAATATCTGCATGTCTCCCTGGATGTACCATGGTGGGGAGCCATATTAATAGGAACCGTTGTTGTTAGAACACTCATGTTCCCTCTTGTCATTTTATCTCAGAGAAACAGTGCTAAAATGAATAACAATTTACCCGAGATACAATTACTACAAATGAAGATGTCACAGGCCAGACAGACTGGAAATCAGTTGGAATCAGCTCGGTATGCTCAGGAAATGATGTTATTTATGAAAGAAAAGGGTTTGAATCCTTTGAGAAACATGATTGTGCCACTTGCACAAGCTCCATTATTTATTTCATTTTTCATAGGATTAAGAGGAATGGCAAACTGTCCTGTAGAGAGTATGATGCATGGTGGTATGTGGTGGTTTACCGATTTGACTGTCCCTGACCAGTTTTTCATACTGCCACTCATAACAAGTGCTACTATGTGGGCTACGATTGAACTGGGAGTTGATGGTGGCAGATTAGAGGCATCAAACATGCAAATGATGAGATATTTCTTGAGAGCGATTCCCATAATCATGATACCTTTCACAATTAATTTTCCTGGAGCCATTCTTGTATACTGGTGTTCAACCAATTTTATATCCCTTCTCCAAGTCGCTGTACTTAAGCTTCCTGGGGTAAGGGAATATTTTAAAATACCTAAATTGATCAAGCACAACGCTGAAAGCTTACCAATGAAGAAGAAGGGTTTTGTTGAAGGCGCCAAGGAGTCTTGGACTAACATGAAGATATCCAGAGAACTTGCGGACAGACAGAGAGTAGATGAGATGATCTTCACAAGGGCTGGGAAAGGTCCTCTACAAAAAACATATAAATTTGACCCAACAAAAATAGCAAAAATTGAAGCCAAACCTAAGTCTTAATTAGTGTTAATATTTTAGTTTGTAGAATATGTATTAAAGTTATTGTAAATTTTTTGCTATCCTTCATTTATTATTCCACAATACACAAATCTCTTCATATCAAAATAAATTTAATTGAAATAAGCATCTTACTCTTGTATTTTCTTTTTGGTGAGGCAGAAATCACTGAAAACTAAAATTCACTTTTCTTTACAAATAACTACAATAAAGAAAATACTAAAATAGGCTTTGATATAGAACAATATCATTGAATAATGTGTAAGTTCCATAAAATTATTTATTCATATAATAATGAATCAATATGATAACATTCTTAGAAATAACATCTGAATCAACTTTATAAAAATAATAATCCATACAATTTCACAACATATTAATTTAAACAAAACTTAAAACAATTTTAAATTCATAACTTACAACTGTCTCGATTTAAATTAATCATGAAATGAAATCTGAATATAACACAAATGAAACATTTAAACACACTCCGAAAAACTATGGTCCATTAATCTATTACACCAATGCGTTAGTAACGAAAAACAGACCTGATCTCCTCTGACAACTGTTTATATGTGGTTCGATACTCTCCTACCCTCACATATTCCTACAATATATATTAATTTTGAATGGGTCAATTGTCAGATATAGAATATAAATTTTAATTATTAGTTTGAAATTTTATTGGCTTATGGGAAAAAATCATATTGTTTTTAAATAATTATTTAGTATTTTATATAAATTATGCATACCTACTCGAGTCCCAGATAGTTGAAAAAAAAAAAGCTGTTATGGAACATTTAAAAAATGTCTTAAGAACAACAATTACGATTTGATTTATAAAATTTTGTCTCCATATATACATACATATTACATTTATAATATATCATGTAATAATTTGAAATCTGTTGCAGTGAAACACATGTTAGGAGATTAATCGACACTGGTAAGGATTTCTTGAAAGTAACTATGAGGAAAGTACTTCAATGTCCTGCGAATTGAGAAGGTTCAGTTGATATGACCTTAATTTAGGTCGGAATAGAAATGTTCTTCCAACTTAATTGATAAGTGTTAGCAATTACTTAGTGAAATTTCAGTTTGGCTGACTGAACACTCTTTGATTTCATTAAGTTCGTTGAAATTAAAAAATAAATAAAAGGAATATTTTATTCTAAAAGGAAATAAATTTTACTTCGTAAAATTAAACGTTTTAATATAACATTAAATCCAATATTTTTATTTTATTTTAAAGTACATCAATAACAATATTTCTTTTATTTATTTACGTATCCAGTTAGTCTTACTAAGCATTTAAATATCTTTAATTTAAATCGTAGGTACATGTACCTACATATAGTACAGATAATTACATATGTTTCTACTAATTTAAGGTATAAATTTAAACTCATAAATATATAATACATCATTTCTTATAAAAGAAAAAATTCTACCCATAGTTAAAGTTTTCAATACACAGACTAAAATTATTCATAAAATTTCATCATGGTTTTGCCGCCTTGTTTTAAATTTCAGTTATATTGGATTGGACCGCGAAAGCAATTGTAAAAGAATAACAAAACTGTTCGTGCTCCAGGTAGCTGATTTGAGTTAAAACTTTTGCTACAATACCAATTATATCCAGTATTTTATTAATTTTCCATTTTCGAAACAAGTTGGAAGTATAACTTTATATAAAAAATATTGTAAGCTAGTACTTATTAGTAGTTATATTAATAATATGAAATATTAATTGTTTGAATAAGTTCTTTCGATTAAGGAAGAATGTGATAAAAAATGAAACCTACAATGTTTATACACAGAAATTTTCATAACTATTAAAAGACGTTAAATCGTAATTAAAAACTAAACATAACAATTTTTTGTACTTATTACTTCAAGATATACAATTGTAAGTGAATTTTGCTACAGAAAAGGTATCTTAAGAATCTGTAAGCGGTTTTATGGTGGTCTGTTCCATTTCGTGAATATTTTTACTGACTAAAAAAGGGGAGGATCTATATTCATGTGTTTTCATTCTTTGTTCGTTTGTAAATTTTACATATTAGTTGTTTTCATTTACGTACATGTAGTTTTGCAGTGTCATATTTTATTTCTTTTGATTTTTGTTACGTAAGAAGTACTAAAATACATTTAAAAGTATTCACTTATAAACAACAACAAAATCTAAAATCGATTCACATTTAGTAGAATCATGGCATTTCATTAAGAAATGATAAAAATATTAAGCAGTTAATTACTGTTTTACTTCAAACAGCAGCTTAAATAAATTGAAAATTGGCACTATTGCACAGTAATAATCCAGCAAATACAAAAAAATCAACACAATGTACACAAAACACAATCATACGGCACGAGATTTTTTTTTATAAAAAAGAAATCATTATATAAGAGAAGACTTTTATCACAAAAGATTGTTTCTATTCGTATTCAGTTATAGGGTGTGCTAAATCAGATTCCGACTGTCTTACTCATAACATTTTTTTATGAAGGCTATACAATCAGCAAACACTTTTTATGTTTCCACTTGTTAAGTTATAAAGAAAGAAATCTGAGGAAATAGGAACAGGGAAATTGCATTTGACGTTAGTGTGGAAGTTTTAAATAAATGTCGAAACTTTTGTATTGTGTAGTTTTATATGCGATCTCTGTTAATACCAATATCTACAGTATGAAATCTAACATCGATAATATGTTCATGTGATTGCAATAATATAAACTCAGCTCAATTCAATCAATCCGTTACTTGTCTGAGAATTGTTTATTTTTATAATTGCCCAAGCAGATTTTCTTATATCTGTAGATAATCTCATTATTAAACATACACACACACACACACACATGTGTATATGATATATTGTTTATTATTTTTGTAATAATATATCGTTATTAATTATTACATATTATATTACAACATAATAACGATTTAAACTGATGTTTTATAATGAGCCTAACCTGACACAATCACACAAGTCTCGCTGATATTAAAACTTTCACTTTGAGTTAAATAAATAGCCCTTAATGTCTGGGATTGTTTTAAGCTAATCACAACATTTTGTACAAAGTATGTTTAAATTTCATGAAAGTATCTTAGAAGTAATAATAACGTACATAACTTTAGTTAATTATTTTGCATGATGTTAACTGCATTCCACGATTATGTAAACCATGTCTAAATAGTTATTGATCGTACGAGTATCAACCGGCATATGTTTACTGAGTTCAGATGATAGTTATCTGTTTATATTTATTTGTTGCCTTAACATGTTCCTTAATCTGTGTGGCGATGGATCTCAGTGTTTGACAGATAAAAGAGCTTTCACATCTGCGATCTATCTTGTAAATCCCTCGGGAGGTAGAAGAATGAAAGGGGAAATAATCTTAACGAAATTCTAATGTTACACATTTGCTTACAGAGTCTGTAAACAGTCTTTATACCCTTTTTTTCTAACAATAGTATAATATGTTACAAAGTTTGAAAAGTTAAAAAATAATTCTCTTTTTGTTCCTTTTGCGTCATACATTTGCTTATATTATACTTTTGTACATATGTATGTCACTGAACTTCTAAAAGGCTGGACAGATAAGAATGATTCTTTTGTATGTCTTTAGGTGGCGCCCCAGGTGGTTTAGATTCACAAATCAGAACCGTAGATAGCTCCGCAGTTGTTATATAGTTTATTTTAAAAGAAAAGGGTGTAAAGCAGGTTACTATATGTATTGTTTTAACACATTTTATTGATTTCTCTCAGAGCACAAATCCGATGTTTACGCAGATGAAGTCACGGGCAAAAGTGAGGGCAAAAGAGGTTTGGTCACGTTTACCTTTATATAAAAGTTTTGACAGTTCAGTTAATGTTAACGGTCGTCCTAAAACACTTTCACTTTTAAAAGTAGTGTGAAGATGTTAAATTTATATAAAAAAATATTTTCTATTAAGAATTGTCATTAGAACTGATCTAATAAAGTTTGTTATATTAGTAAGATTTATATAAACTTTGGGATAAAAGAGTAAATATTTTTTATTATTATCGAGAAGTATGTATGTAGATCTTAAAAGTTACTGTATTACAGTAATTCTCACTAGAATATGTTTTAATCGCCGCATTTTTTCTAGACACGTATCTACATATTCTGAAAAGATCATTTTCCGAGGCTTCCCCAGAGGTACAATAAATGTAATTTACAGTCATTTTTATAGTTACCTTACACATCAAAAAGTTGGCTGCCCTGACAGTATTGATCATTTTCTTCCTAAAATAATTTAATATCTTACTAATTAATAATTAATATTTAGTAAATAAAAAGCTAAATTATTGATAGTTCTATTGGCAGCAATAATATTATATCACATAACACTCAAAGAACTACAAACTTAATAATTATTATAATTAGGAAGGAAGAAATATATTTATTTAACTGTATTCAGCAAATATGCTGTGATTTTTGTTCTCCGTTTTAATAAAAGGCGTTCATCTCATGTTAAGATTATTACATCGTTCAAAAAATTACCTATACTGTTTTCTATGAACTTAAAAGTTACGAGTTTTAAATTTTCAAATCCGAAGATTTTGATCCAAGAAAAAAATACAAAACGGTTAATATATTTTTAAATATAGAATCAAGATGTCGGACTTGATAAGTATTTCTGTTAATAAGTAAAAGTAAAATTTCTCAATATAATACGTTTGATGAATTATTTAAATAAATAATTGGAAATACTTAAATCTCCTTTTACGTTAATGTGGCACGGCCCTTTCAACAGTAGATTAAGTATTAAATTCCCAGACCTTGAGAGCGTTTTGTTGTTAAAACGACGTCGATTCCATTTTATTATTATTTTCATCAAAATACAATTCCAGTATCTCAGTTAAATAATACCCGATATTTTGAGAAGCATTCAAAATGTTCATTATATCAAACATTGGTTTTTTATTAAAATACTTACGTGTTGTCAAAAACCAAACAATGCCATACCATCGTAT